GTGAAATATTCAAAATGTTAAAGGAAGGGATACCCATACCCCCCTCTGTGATGTGATTTCTTTGAATTAAGGAAAACCAGGCATGATCTTGGTCTAGTTCGAATCGAGCAAAGGGTAGTCAGTAGTGAGGCAATTTTTTTAAATTTAATCTTAAGCGTTGGTATGATCACCATTTTTCACTCTGAAAGAAAGGTGCAAATTCGTGTAGATTCTGTTCCGTGCCTTAAAAATGGGACGGGTCATCGTTAACCTGGTTTCCTACGAATTCAAGAATCCGTGCCATAGGCGAGAGCGGATATTGCATTTGTGTACTGGGTTTCTCGCTTTATGATGCCCGAGGCAATAACGAGATTGCTCGAAATCCAAATCACTGTGGCGACCAGGTGATATCTTTTATAAAAAGATGTCGGTGATTTGTGCTTTGCCGGAGGGTAAGACTTAGACTCATTGTAATATTTAGCTGTATAATCCTTTCCCATACCGTGGAGAAATATTTCACTTCGACCTTGAATAACCATTATTTATGGGACAGCAAAGAATCAATTAAGATTCACGACTTAGGTAATATGAAGGGCTAAGGCAGGACAGAGGCGTTGTTTGGCAGATTGTTTCAAGTCAAAATGCTCGCCACCTTATATATGAAATTTTCATGTGCCACATGCAATACTCTTCGGTAGATTAATCGTATAACAATAGCGTTTGATAAAATTCTTGTCAAATATAGGCCATGTGCTTCTAATGATTTCCTAAATGTTCATTATCAATAGATAGAGGTCGATAGAGATAGAGGATCGAGAAAAACTATGGGTAAACAATATACAATATAGAAAGGATGTCTCAAAGAGGTAGACACTCAGTCCCTGCATGGACCTAGAGATATATGTCTTTGAACCTGACGATGTTATTAGTCTGGGAGTCAATATATAGATAAACATAAAAATAGGGAATTCGGTACATACGGCTGCTACCTTTCATTTCACACTTTCTTTGCACATTTTGTACACATTTTTATAGGAACAAGATAATTTGCCGAGGCTCAATGTTTTTTTGTACAATCTGTGGGTCGTCTGGCTACTCTAAATGTTGTTCATATTTCAACATTGATTTTTCTACAACTTCATACTATGAATTCTTCCTAAAGCAACTAAATCACAATTTTGCAAGGCATTTTTGATAGCGCAGTTGATTAGCTGACCAAATATTCTCCGGTTACAAAGAAAGAAAAATTTTGAATACTCATTGCTTTTTCTCTACAAATTTTCAATAAGAGGCTGGGTATGCTCATGTTATTCATGTGTTAAGAGAAGTTAGGCCTCGGTGTTCTTACAAAGTGTTTTTTTATAAAAAAGGGTTTTGCAGAAATTGTTCCATGCCTTGAAAGGTTTCAAGCAATAAAATGCATCGAAAAAGATGCAAATCTGCACACATTAGCGAGTTGAAGCTAAGATACAGACGATTCCGTCTAAAGTCAGCCCACTTAAAGTCATTCTGCTAGTTACGTTTACATAAAAATTCTGCCAAAATTTTTGAAACTGTTTGATTAAGGTCCGTTTAAAGTTAATGAACTCCGCTTTACATTCAAACAAATTCAAGCAACATATTGGGTCCGTGCCCTCTGACGCTCAAAGTACATTATCTTGCTATAGGCCTAGCCTCTTTGATCAGAGATCACCTTGCGTGCTGCTCTCTCGCTGAATAACTCAGTTAATCCAGCGGCATAGCCGAAAGGGAAACAACGTTACAGTGGGGGTATCCCCCATGCGAGTGGGGATAAACGGCTGCCTATTCCTGAAAAGATAACGTGCAAAGATTTCTAATAAACACAGTCGTCGCGTGCCCTCTTGTTTGGAACATGTAACTGATTATCCAATTTTGGATTAGTACACGAATACGAGGGTGCCGACCCGAAGCACCCAGCTCGCATCACGGAATAAAAAATCACAACATGAGAAATTAACAAGAATGAAGAGAGATTTTTGGTAAAATTTGCCAGTTCGCGATAACACCCCCAATCGCGCCTTAAAATTTACAATCGTTTAAGATACGAATATCGTTGCTGTAAATTTTCATGACTTGATTGCATGACGTGACCATGTTGACATGTCATGTGAAAATCGAGCGTGACTTTGAGAAAATGTAACCACATTCAAGGTGCATTTTGTTTACGAGCCCTCTTGTCCAAAGCTTAGCGATGAATGCGTGCCAGATCAATTCATAGTAATTTATTAGACGCATCCGCGTTATGTTTATCCGCCATGGCGCGTCCAATTCCAATGCTCTTGGGCTTCCTGAAGTCTAACATAGAGGTATTATGAGGAAGCCACGGAAGAGACACAGGCTGCTACAAGCGGATGTCAATGCAGGTCATTTCTTCTTATCCGCCGCATCGTACATAAAAGCGGTAGTTTCGTATTTCGGACAGACATCTTGGACAGACGTTTATGGACAGTGTTCCAGTTTGCTTTGGAAGACAGCTCTTTGAAATGGAACAATAATGGGTATTGGGTGAAACGTTACACATTACTGCAATCAAGGTGTTACCCAAATGAGATCTGTTTAATTGTTACATCCTCCATTTAGTCACCTGTCTTTAAATCGTGCAATTATTCTCTGGTACTTTGCCAGACTATCACAGACTAAAATTGCATTAATGGATCAATTAAAATCGACTGATGGGCTCGTGTAACATGGACTATGAACTTTCAAGGTATTCCTCATAATAACATGCCCACATACGAAGATTGTTGTCTGGAGTTTCCCGCCAAAATACCAGGCTTTACGTCAGATTTAACTATTCATCAGTGTTCGGGGGTCATTCAATTTTACGTTACTCAGACAACTTGGAACGTCGTATGCGAAGCTTAGACTGTTGATTGTACGTTCATATTGCATTTTAGGCGGGTATATTCTTGCTACATAACTCGTGCAGGTGTATGTTAGCTGGGGCAATGTTTCGCGTTTCTTTGAGTTACGCAATAAGTAACTGACCTCGTTTTCACTTCTTAAAATTGAAATTGCCCCAGTGCAGTGACACTTTAAAGTATATCGGCAAGCAGATGTCGCAAAAACATCGAAACATGGCAAAAAGGGGAAGGCGGAGCCAGATTAAACAAAGAGGGGCAGGCCATAATAAAAAAAATGAAGAAATTAGAGTGAAGAACGGAAGAAGCACGCGGCTAATGTTATCATTATGCGTTACACACACAATTTTCAACATTTCTTTTATTCGCTCAAAAACATTGTGCTGGCCTATTGAGTTTTGTATGAGTATTGGCCAGTCTACTTGGTTTCGCGCGTAATTTCAGCTACACGTGGTCGGACAAACCTACATGGTGCGCAAACAGAAGTTTGTCCATAATAGAAAAAATTCATTTAGTGTGCCATTTTTGACTTCGGTGTACAGAATTATGAAAACTTCGGATTGAACACACTGTCAAATGCAATAATTTTTTTGTAAGAAACTCGCTATATTTAAGAAAGGAGTACTTGGATATCTGAAGAAATTCAGTACTCAAAGCAAAATCTCTTGGCACAAATGTAACAAGCATTAGAAAACAAAAGAAAAATTGACGATTTTCAGCGACGAAAATCCTTCCAACAAGTTTCTGTTGGGAAATTCCTTATCGAGAAAAAATTCAAATTATTATTGCTAAGGTGCTATTGACGTTATCAAACTTTTTTTTAAATTCTTATTTCAACACGATATCCCTTCAGAAACCTAAATACAAGTTATGATAAGTTAAAAAAAACTAATAATGGAAGACAAAGATTTAAAAAATTATTTAATAATATGTGTGAATTGAATTTGACTTCTGATCTTCCTGGGAGTCATGTTTTAATTCGGGCTTTCTGAGCTCTTCCAATGAGCTTTTAATTAGTTTGAATTGACAGAGCGAGGGGATCTCCTTTAGTTCTATGGGTATTTCGTTCCAAGCTTTAAGCCCAGAGAAGTGGAATTCTTTTTTTTGTATTCTCAAGCTTAAATTTTGGGATGTCGAGATTTTGAGGTGCCCTATACTGCGTTACGCCATTGGTGTATCAAAAAAGAATAGTTAGCAGAGTTAAAGAACACAGATAAGAGACCAATTCGATGACCCGCGTACCTTGTACTTGCGAGAGGTCTGGGCCGAGATTTTGGAGAGACTCGTACACTGCATTGGCAAATCGCGCGACAAAATGCAAAGCTTTGCTTGCAGTTCAGGAGTATTTTGAATTTCTTAGTCGGCTACCTGCCGAGCAGCTGCTATCAAACAGCTTTTAAATGTAAAACGTCTCCTTTATCAGATAATTTTCAAGTGTTCCTTTCACAACTTTCAAGTGTTTCCTTGATAACTCTTTATTCCTATACTCCTAGGGAAATAGTTTATTTTGTATAGCAGTACTAACCAATGTTATTCACCCGCTCGTAGTTAAAGAGTCATATGTTTGTCTGTAATGGTACAATGGCCTAGGCATTTACCACGTAAATTGGCGATAAATCTTGAGAAATGAAGGCCAATTGTGGAAAACAAAACCTGCAGCAAGGTTTGATAGGCAATTAAAATTAAATTCAGGGCTTGAAACTCAGAACTAATTGAAATTTTATTTGATATTAACACCAAGCTATTTTTATTGCACAGAAAGAATAAAGCCCAACTCCGAAGAAATGGTCTTTAATAATTTCAGACAGGTTATTCATTGTCTTCTAAGTACAGCCCGACAAAATACCGCCTTATTTTTAGACTTCAGTGATACCGGATCGGATACTTTCTAAAAGCACAAGTTTTGTTGTCAAGGATAACACGAGCTTTTTCGTTTCAGTTGATTAGTTTCAAAAATATATTTCCAAAATATGCATGCTTGTTATGGGTTTAGAATAGAAAGTGTTGTCGAAGGAATTAGGGCAAATTGATAGTAGCTTTGATTGGCTGTTGAAATCTACCCAATCAGATCGCAAAAGTAGTCGTCACATGATCAATTATAAGGCTCGAGGCATATACGGTTTCTAGAATACGACTAGCTCCCCTACGAAGCCCGCTACGCGGGCTTGCCAGTGACCCTACGGTAGAGTACATAGATTAGCCTCGGAAAAGACAAGAATTTTCTTAAAACCCCCTGTGAATGATAGTAAAATTAGCCTCGGTAAAGACAAGAATTCTTTCGAAGCCCCCAATGAGTATGCAGATTAGCCTCGGAAAAGACAAGAGGTGTATCAAACTCGATTTGAAAAAAATTGGCTCCGCACAGGTCACGTGATAAAAAAATTACTCGCACTCCTGTGACTATCGCTAGTCAGGGGGTCGCCTGAAATAGAGAAGGGGTAGAGGCTCCCCCCTTCCTAGCGATAGTCACAGGAGTGCGAGTAATTTTTTTATCACGTGACCTGTGCGGAGCCAATTTTTTTCAAATCGAGTTTGATACACCTCTTGTCTTTTCCGAGGCTAATCTGCATACTCATTGGGGGCTTCGAAAGAATTCTTGTCTTTACCGAGGCTAATTTTACTATCATTCACAGGGGGTTTTAAGAAAATTCTTGTCTTTTCCGAGGCTAATCTATGTACTCTACCGTAGGGTCACTGGCAAGCCCGCGTAGCGGGCTTCGTAGGGGAGCTAGTCTTCCGTTAATTGAAAGTTGCTTCAAAACATTTGCAGCCCAGGTCTATTCGTGTTCCTCGTTTAGATATTTTAATGTGTTACCCCCTAAGTCTCCTGTTTTAATTTTCCATAAAATTTCATGTTAAGACTTCCCAACCTTACTTATCTGTTTACTCCTCTGACAAATCAAATTAAAGTTGAATCTATCTTGAAAATCAGAATAAAAAAACAATGTCTTCCTACATTCTTTCAATTTAATAAGGAATGCAAGCAAAAAGTGTAATATCATACAGCAAGCAGGCAAGGATACTTTAAACGTGACAAAAGGCAAACATAATTAATCTAATCCATAGTCACGCCTACTGTGAGTAGCATATACTATTGGCAAGAGCAGGAAATAATTGCTCGAGGACAAAGTCTTATTTACTCACAGCAACAACCCTATTGAGATAAGAGCTATTTTCGTGTAGGAAGATAATGCTTTATTACCTTGATTGTAATTCAGTAAATCCTTTTAGAAAAGTAAACCCAAACTTAATTACTTGCTGGCTCCAGATACCCATACTTGCGAAATTCCTAATAGAATCAATCCAATAAGTAGTTCCTTGATTATTATGATTACCAATTAGCAATATCATAGCTTTCATCACCATCTGAACCCCTTTGAAATCGAGCTTAATAGCACTCTTGACTTTCAGAGGCTAATCTTACTATTCCATTCCGGGGTCCATAGGGTGCCCGCAGAGCGGGATTTACTGGGAGCTACTCTTCCGTTTATTAAAATGTACACACCAATTTGATACATAAACGGTTGCAATATCGAGGCAAGGCAGAAAAGTTCTTCAATATATTTTGTAAGCCACGATCTAGTTGGGGTCCTCGTTTAAATACTTTCACGGGTTACCCTCTTTAATTCTCCTGCTTATTCTAATTGCAATTTTCAAAGTTTCCATCTTCTTTTATCTCTCGGTGTATCGTGGTGGTCGTTTAAATATCTTGCAGGCTTATCTAAAAGCTTTGTTAATTATTCTGAATTCTACTTTAAACTTGACAGCAACATGCTTCTGCCAGTCCCACCAATTCCTTATGCTCGTTGGCACATTTTCATGGGTTACTCCTAGAGGTTCTCCTATTTAGTCAGAATCAAATTTTTAAGTTTTCTAATCATACACTCTTAGCCCTCGTCGACTTATGGGGCGTTTTTAAATATTTTCTAAAGTCATTCTTAGAGCTGTAATGTTCATTTTAAAGCACTTCGTTCAATCTTTGTTCACTTGTGATGCTGTTTTTAGACATAATTGCGGGCCACCCTCAAAGCTCCCTGTTTATTCTGAATCAAACACCTCTTCTAAACCCCAAAGAGTTATAAAGTTATTACGCAGTTCTATACATTTGAGGTCCACATATCATATCTTCGTCACAATTAGCTTTTGAAACACTGCAGCAACAAAGCACTTAAGAAATGGAAAGATAGAAAACAGCCAAAGTTTCGTGCATCAGAAATGATTCTTACTCCAACAACAAATTAACAAAATACAATTTACGGACAACAGCTAATCTATATAACTTTAGTCCTTTTCTCCACAGTCAAGAATCACGTCTGGGTCATAATTATTGCTTGAAACGATCTTTGATCTAGATGAAGAACATCACAAATAATTAAGATGTTATTCCATGGTTAATGAAAGCACTTTTTAAGGAAATCCATAGTAATAATGCTTTGTAAAAATTTCAGAAAAAAAGGTTCGCCCCGAGGGTTTAGCCACCCCTTTATGCGACCTGTTTTTAGTGAAATTTCATCAAACTAAGCATAAAATCATTTGAACTTGTTCTTGTGAAGCGAGCAATACAGCAAATCCATTTTCCTTGAAGGACAAAACTACGAAGAGGTAAAACATTAAGAGAAAGGCGTTCGTGGCGGGTCTAGCGACTCCTTTTAGCAACCGGTTTTTAGTGTAATTTCACCCAAATAAGCATAAAGTCATTTGAAATGGTTTCTAGAATAATTGTCACTCAAGAGGCAGGCAAATCCCATCTCATTCTCAGTGGGAAAATCTCACAAAAAGTGAAATTTTAATAGAAAAATACTCACTTGTTGAACCAAAAAGTCAGCGAATCCGATCGTTTATCTACAAAAAAGGAAGGCGGTTAGGAAAAGTTGCTGCAAAGGATTCTCGATAGGCATAAAAAGTTGGGGGCTGGCGGGATTACATAATTCGCATTACAACCGGTTTCCTATGAAAATCAAATTTTCTTGCATCAAGAATAAACAGCAGGAAAAATCTACCACAATTCTTCATACTTTGATTGCAATAAAGCCAATCCAGTTTCCTTTAAGCACAAAACCACGAGAAGAGGTAAAAAGTTTTCGTTCGCAGCGGGGGTCTAGCAGCCGGTTTTTAGTGTAATTTCATCGAAATGAGCACAAAATCATTTGAAAAAAGTAATATCGAAAACACGTAAGAACAACAACAGCGCTTACCTGTATTCACATGCCATCGATTCTGATGCCAGTGAAGAAGGGGAACAGCCAGCAGCCATCGCAGAACCGAAAAACGGGCAGCAGTGTGCGTACCGTACGTACGTAGCTACTAAAACGAAGAAAAGGAAGATTGTCAAAAGCACGAATCACATGGCTCTTGCAAACAAAATAAGAAACGGGGTTCAATCGTCGATCGATAAAAAATCAGTTGATAAAAAAAGCTAGCAAGACTCACCTGAGGTCTGTCGAGAGCACCCAGCACGATTGACTACTGGAGCTGTAGCTGTAGCACACGACACCGACCGTCGACGACCGCTTCGAGTTCGAAAAGGAATGCCAACCAGCAGTGCACGTAGATTTATCATCCAATTCCACATCATCTAAATTATCGGCACACAGTAGATTCTTTGTGGAAGCGAAACGAATTTGAAAAGCCTCCGTTCAAATTGAAGGGTTGCTGTTGGAAGGAGTTTTGAAACCTTTTGTAGAGAGCAAGAGAAAAGAGAGAGAAAGAACCTTTAGAAAGTCGGGACAAAGACCGCGGAGAGCACTAATCGTGATCGAGAGGATTTCGAACGAATCCGGGAGAAAACCGTAAATATCTCAGGAACGGAAGCGAAAAGGAGAAAAAGGAGACCGTAGTATGGTGAACCAAAGATCGAGGCTGAAGGGGAAAAAGGAATTTTGAAAATCGGCCGAGCGGTTTTGGCTGGAATCCCTCTTAATCGCCGGGCGGTGGGGACCTTTTGTTCGGGGTTAATTTGCATATACGAATTTTAGTTATGGTGACTCCCCTACGAAGCCCGCTACGCGGGCTTGCCAGTGGCCCTACGGCAGGGTACATAGATTAGCCTCGGAAAAGACAAGAGGTGTATTAACCTCGATTTGAAAACAATTGGCTCCGCACAGGTCACGTGATCAAAAAAATTGCTTGCACTCTTGTGCGCATTAAATTCGCACTCCTGTGACTATCGCTAGGAAGGGGGGAGCCTTAAATAGAAAGGGGGTAGAGGCTCCCCCCTTCCTAGCGATAGTCACAGGAGTGCGAATTTAATGCGCACAAGAGTGCAAGCAATTTTTTTGATCACGTGACCTGTGCGGAGCCAATTGTTTTCAAATCGAGGTTAATACACCTCTTGTCTTTTCCGAGGCTAATCTATGTACCCTGCCGTAGGGCCACTGGCAAGCCCGCGTAGCGGGCTTCGTAGGGGAGCTAGTCTTCCGTTAATTGAAAGTTGCTTCAAAACATTTGCAAGCCCAGGTCTATTCGTGTTCTTCGTTTAAATATTTTGATGGGTTACCCCCTAAGTCTCGTGTTTTAATTTTCCATAAAATTTCATGGTAAGACTTCCCAACTTTACTTATCTGTTTACTCCTCTGACAAATAAAATTAAAATTGAATCTATCCTGAAAATGAGATTAAAAAAACAATGCCCTCCTACATTCTTCCAATTTAATAAGGAATGCAAGCAAAAAGTGTAATATCATACAGCAAGCAGGCAAGCACATTCTAAACATGACAAAATAAAAACATAATTAATCCAATCCATAGTCACGCCTACTGTGAGTAGCATATACTATTGGCAAGAGCAGGAAAGAATTGCTCGAGGACAAAGTATTATTTACTCACAGCAACAACCCTATTGAGATAAGAGCTTCTTTCGTGTAGGAAGATAATGCTTTATTACCCTGATTGTATTTCAGTAAATCCTTTTAGAAAAGTAAACCCAAACTTAATTACTTGCTGGCTCCAGATACCGATACTTGCGAAATTCCTAATAGAATCAACCCAATGAGTAGTTCCTCGATTATTACGATTACCAATTAGCAATATCATAGCTTTCATCACCATCTGAACCCCTTTGAAATCAAGGTTAGTAGCACTCTTGACTTTCAGAGGCTAATCTTACTATCCCATTTTGGGGCCATAGGGTGCCCGCAGAGCGGGATTTACTGGGAGCTACTCTTCCGTTTATTAAAATGTGCATATCAATTTGATACATAAACGGTTGCAATATCAAGGCAATACAGAAAGTTGCTTCAATACATTTTGTAAGCCACGATCTAATTGGGGTCCTCGTTTAAATACTTTCACGGGTTACCCTCTTTATTTCTACTGCTTATTCTAATTGCAATGTTTTAAAGTTTGCATCTTCTTTTATCTCTCGGTGTATCGTGGTGGTCGTTTAAATATCTTGCAGGCTTATCTAAAAGCTTTGTTAAATATTCTGAATTCTACTTTAAACTTGACAGCTACATACTTCTGCCAGCCCCCATCATTTTCATGAGTTAATCCTATAATTTCTCCTATTTAGTCAGAATCAAATTTTTGAGTTTTCCAATCATACATTCTTAGCCCTCGTCGACTTATAGGGCGCTAGAAAATATTTTCTAAGGCCATCCTTAAAGCTGTAATGTTCATTTTGAATCCAACATGAATATCTTTATCAGACCATTTCGTTCAATTCTTGTTCACTTGTGATGCTGTTTTAAGGTATAATTTGGGGCCACCTTTAAACTTCCTCTGTTTATTTTGAATCAAACATTAAAGTTTTCCAACAATAAATTCCTGTTAGCCGTTATTGGTCCATGGTGCTCGTTTAGATATATATCATCTAAAAATTTCTTAAGAATTAATGACTCCTCTTCTGAACTCCAAAGAGTTATAGAGTTATTACGCAGTTCTGTACATTTGAGGTCCACATATCACATCTTCGTCACAATTAGCTTTTGAAACACTGCAGGAACAAAGCAGTTAAGAGATAGAAAGATAAAAAACAGCCAAGTTTCGTGCATCAGAAAGGAATCTTACTCTAACAACAAATAAACAAAATACAATTTACGGACAACAGCTAATCTATATTATATAACTTTAGTCCTTTTCTCCACAGTCAAGTTTTTTCTTGTTTCATCGTTTGATTTAACGCCAGCATAAATGCCATAAATTTCGTTTCGAAGGTTCGAGAATCACGTCTGCGTCGTAATTATTGCTTGAAACGCTCTTTGATCTAGATGAAGAACAAAAAGATTAATGAAGATGTTATTCCATGGTTAATGAAAGCACGTTTCAAAGAAATCGATATACAGCCAATCCATATTCTTTTAAGCACAAAACTACGCAAGAGGTAAAAAATTAAAAGAAACACGCTCGTAGCGGGTCTAGCGACTCCTTTCAGCAACCAGTTTTTAGTGTAATTTCACCCAAATAAGCATAAAGTCATTTGAAATGGTTTCTAGAATGATTCATTTACAATTCCGAAAATGATGCAGGCACAATCTACCGTAACAATCCAGCTTCCTTTCAGTACAAAACCACGAAAAGAGGTAGGAATTCGCCGTTCGCGGCGGGGGTCTAGCAGTAAGCGACGGGTTTTTAGTGTAATTTCATCAAATTAAGCATAAAATCATTAGAAATTGTTCTCGTTAAGCGAGCAATACAGCAAATCCATTTTCCTTGAATTACAAAACTGCGAAGAGGTAAAACATTAAGAGAAAAACGTTCGTGGCGGGTCTAGCGACTCCTTTCAGCAACCGGTTTTTAGTGTAATTTCACCCAAATAAGCATAAAGTCATTTAAAATGGTTTCTAGAATGATTAATTTACAATTCCGAAAATGATGCAGGCACAATCTACCGTAACAATCCAGCTTCCTTTCAGTACAAAACCAAGAAAAGAGGTAGGAATTCGCCGTTCGTGGCGGGGGTCTAGCAGTAAGCGACCGGTTTTTAGTGTAATTTCACCCAAATAAGCATAAAGTCATTTAAAATGGTTTCTAGAATGATTCATTTACAATTCCGAAAATGATGCAGGCACAATCTACCGTAACAATCCAGCTTCCTTTCAGTACAAAACCAAGAAAAGAGGTAGGAATTCGCCGCCTGCGGCGGGGGTCTAGCAGTAAGCGACCGGTTTTTAGTGTAATTTCATCAAATTAAGCATAAAATCATTTGAATTTGTTCTCGTTAAGCGAGCAATACAGCAAATCCATTTTCCTTGAATTACAAAACTGCGAAGAGGTAAAACATTAAGAGAAAAACGTTCGTGGCGGGTCTAGCGACTCCTTTCAGCAACCGGTTTTTAGTGTAATTTCACCCAAATAAGCATAAAGTCATTTAAAATGGTTTCTAGAATAATTTTCACTCAAGAGGCAGGCAAATCCCATTTGTTTCAGCGGGAAAATCGCACAAAAAATGAAATTTTAATCGAAAAATACTCACTTGTTGTACCAAAAAGACAGCGAATCCGATCGTTCATCTACAAAAAAAGAAGGCGGTTAGGAAAAGTTGCTGCAAAGGATTCTCGTTAGGCATAAAAAGTTGGGGGCTGGTGGGATTACAAAATTCGCATTACAACGGGTTTCCTAGAAAATCAAATTTTCTTGCATCAAGAATAAACAGCAGGAATAATCTACCACGATTCTTCATACTTTGATTGCAATAAAGCCAATCCAGTTTCCTTTTAGCACAAAACCACGAGAAGAGGTAAAAATTTTTCGTTCGCGGCGGGGGTCTAGCGGCCGGTTTTTAGTGCAATTTTATCCAAATGAGCAGAAAATCATGTCAAA